TCCCTCGTCATCGAATTTAAGTTATAGTTATTTAGTCTACTATTTTAATAATTGCACATATTGAAGTTTAACTTTAATATATGTGATATTATAAAGTTTAATAATGAACTCTTTGTTTTTTTAGTGTAAAACTGTATGTCTTGTACCATAACCACACAATCAACTCAAAATATATTCCATAACTTTTCTATATCAGACCTGGCTCCTAAGTTTTTGGGCTAGCTTCTAGATCTTAAAACATTTGTTGAGGCCTGACTTACAGTAATTAAAGAAAACAATTAGGAATGATTAGATGTAAAGGGTTTTTACAAGGAATGGTCAAAATTCAAACATGCTGAAAGTGTAGTTTTTATCAACAAACATACTGTCAGTATAGTATAGTTACATAATTTCAAATAATCAACCATTTATTGAGAAAATTTCACATCATTTACAATGTAACATTTTACTATAAAGATCTGTTAATTTTTTTAGCTTTTTGATCACTGCATGGCTGCTCTTATTAAGCAAAAATAAATTAACTGAATATAAAATTCTAAACAAAATTCACTAGAATATTTTATTAATTCCTATGACTATTGTTTGTTGTTTTTTCACTTTATCTTACACACATAGTGGCTCACATAGAAAAGGAAAAGATTATCAAATTCAAATTTCCAGAACAAAATAATCATAGGCATTTACAAGTAAAAAAGTTTTGGGGAAACAAACAATCAGATTAGTAAGTATGCTGAAACCTTAACTCTTTCACAATGGGCTTCTGTATTTTACACGACCTTGTAACCATGATGGTATATATATACTATAATTCTGAAAGTAGTTAATGTATTTTCATGAAATTTGGCAAGCTTTCAGTAAACATTACAAGTCTTTTGTAGACAAAAAAAAAAAAAATCCAATTTTTAATCAAGTAATTTTACTAAAAATTTGTCCATAAATATATAGTTGGAGATCCAACTGCAAAAATGCAAAGTGATTTTCCAGTTAAGATTAAAAATACTTTTCTTCATCTGAAAATTTTGAAATTTCATTCACATAATTTCTGAAACCTCCAAAATAAATATTGAACATTTTTTCAGAAACACTTTATATTTTATGTTATTTTCTCTACCAAAGTTTCTAATTTTTACATTTTAGTTACTTTTATAATAATAAATAAAGAATACGCATGAAAAAGAAGAAATATAGTACTTATCTGGGTCTTATTTTTTTTATTTAATTAAATAATGCACCTAAGAACACAGAATAATAACTAGCAAAAAGAAAACAATGTTCTATAGTTATCATAAATTTTCTGGCTTTCTGAATATGTGATAAGAGCCTTTAAAAATTCAATTATGTTCGTCGATACGATTTGCATGAGAAAACAATTAAAACTGAATGACAAAATAGAGACTACCTGTACAGAAACAATGTAATAATCATTTGATAGACCAAACTTTTGGCTTTCTATTGTTTATAAATAATATAGTATTAAACATCAGAGAGAACTATTAGCAATTTGTGAAAGAGAGTATGTGACAGGTAGGTGTGGTAAGTGGGTCTGATTTTCTAGTTTATAGTTCCACAGACAAACAATATTGCAAGCTATAAAAGTTATGCTTTGGCTGAGTAATATCTATATCATAATGAGTAATTTACCTTAAATTCTGTACTTCTTAGAGAGGGTGGTAAATAAATTAGAGAAGAGGGAAGACCTAGAGAACAAATGTCACAAGTCTCATACTAGGGGAGATTGAGGATTTTGTAAAATATTTCGTTATAAAATTAAGAACTTAAAACTTGTATAATATTAACATTGTATTCATTAACTACGTTTTGATACCAAGTTTATTTGTATATACTAATAATAAAGTAGTTTAATTAAATTTTGAATGTAACTCTAAAGAAGTTGTGATGTGCACATTTTGACCTACCTGTAATGAGAGGGTTAAAGAACACATTTCAGTGATAATAAACTTTAACAAGATCAATTATGATCATTGGTAACTGTTAAGATTATGGAGTTTGTTCAGTATGAACCAGGAAAAATAATTTTGAGAAATGAGAGAAATCCAAGAGACAAAGATGTTAACTATGTTTTGATGCCAAGTTTATTCATATACACTGTTAATAAAGCAGTTTAATGAAATTTTGAATGTCACTCTGTAAAAGGTTATGATATGCACACTCTGACTTGTCCATTCTGAAAGGGTTAAGAGTAGACAATAAGAAAAGGGAAATGTAAAAACAGGATTGTAATATGAACATTTTAACACTTGGAAGACTTACACGAAAAGTAAATCTTTTAAAACCTGAAATAAATTTGGAATGAAATTCTTTAAACTAGCACTGCTCATATTACAAAATTAATCTGTATGTTAGATAAAAATGAATACCATAGTACCAGATTAACTCATATGTTATAGCTGATTAATAAAAGTGTACTTGTAAACTTCAGAAAATTAGAGAGCTTAACTCCAGTTGTAACTCGCATCTAGTGTGAAACATTGTCTTTGACAAGTAAAACAATAATAATGCCATTATTACAGACTTAAATATTTGAGAGTCAGAATGTGAATTTTTGTATTTATGGGATATAATGTTAATAATGTATAATAGTTCAAATAGTTGGACTACAAACTAGTGTGAAGTTCAGTTTGTTATTTGACTTAAATGTAGGAGTCATGGTTATTATGTTCATCATTTCATGAATGAGTTAGTTAATAATAGTTTTTAAGGTATTACTTGTACTGAAAATAATAATTCTATTTATTAGGTATTATTATTGTTCAATTTTATAATTTCCTTTATTTGCTACGCTACTATGTTTTAGCAATTAATTATTGAATATACTATCACAAGTGAGTTAGATTTCTGTAAAATAGATATGTTTGTTCGATTGCATGATGTAGAATGTGCAAGGCTGCTTCCTTCTTTGTGTTGGTAGATATTGTATGTTAAGAATAGCAATGGTCGGCTAGTTGTTATTAGAAGTATCTAGAAAGTCAAGGAGTTTGGAAGAGAATATGATGCTTGTAAACATAATATCTCTCTGCTTCTTAAACAATGTAATATGCTAAACTACAACCAAATGCAGGAAAGCCATTGGAAAATTAAGTTTATGGATTTATTTTTAAGATAATTAGATTCTACAAACAACATTTGGTTTTATCTCTATTAAAGTGACTGTAGCCTTAATCTTTAAACTGTGCACAAAATTGTTAAAACATAAATAGCCCTTCAGGTCAGTAAATTTTGTTAAATGTTCTTAAACTTGCTTTTGTTTCATAAATGTATTTTTTGTCTAATTTGGATGTCATTATTTAGAACACAACAAAGTGTAAACACAAGTAAAAGAATAAATAAAATTAGATGACACATACAAGATGAGTAATTTGTAGTTTATTGTAAGATTGCCAGGATCCTGACTAAATTGATGATATTGAAGAGGCACAACCAGCACAATTAACCAAAAACTTTAAACATTGCACTAAAATATTTTAAAATCATGCTTTCCACAGCTTCATTCATAATTTACATCTGAATGTGCACTTTGCTATAAAAGGTTAAAATTAGTTCATTGTATCTTATTTGATAAATTGAGAAGATATTGTAAATAATAATTTTTTTTTAATGATATCTGTTCGAAGATCTTGCTTCTAGTAAAATATGAACAGGTTTTGGTACAGCAAGAATAATATCAATCTTATATGTACTGTGAACTGTGGTGTCTGTCCGAGCTTTCATCTGTATCTCGTTTACGCCAACCACTTCCCGCACTGTGCTTTAAAAGCTGTGCATGCAGGCAAAGCTCAACATTCACTTTTGAAGTGGCAGGAGAACAGATATGAATAATGTTGATACCAAATTTTATTTTGCAAACAGGATTTTCTGTACTAAATTGTTAGGAATTAATCACTATCATTCACATTTTAAAATGTGACGTAATTTAAAAAATAAGAATGTAGATTTACTTTATGTTATTGTTGAGTGGCTCTTAGCATAAATGAAATGCTCAACAATTACTTTTTGTGGTGGGCAGTATATGTAGCTTAGAGCTTTGGCTCTGAGTGAAGACAAAAGTGCAACATAATTGACCTATTTAAAGTACACGAAATAATTTAAATTCATAGATTAACTTAAATTTTTCTCATCACTGGGGACTGGTACTTTTGCTAGATTAACTTAAACTTTTCCAGTCACTGGGGACGGGTATTTTTGCTAGATTAACTTAAACTTTTCTAGTCACTGGGGACGGGTACTTTTGCTTGTATTACACATGTTGGGTAAATTATTTTCAGTACAGGATTACTTGTACTTTTTTGCGATAAAAGTCAATGTTTTAAAAGTACTTCAATGAATTGGATTATAAATTATAATAAGGAGTCCATAGCTAAAAGGAGCTTTGCTTGTTTTATTTTAATTAGGAAGTCACCCACACTTATATAGTAAACTACAAAAGTACTTAGCTCCCAATGACAGTTTATCAAAAATCAGTCTTGGGCTAGTTGGTGTTCACTAATTTCCACCTGTCACTACTAAGAAGCCAGACAGAGATGAGACATTAAGCATCCACAAGAGTATCAAGGCATTCTTCCAATCTACAATGAGGAAATATGTTTCTGTAGGTAGCTACAATGAGCTATCTGAAATCCACATAAATACCTTATTACTCAATGAGTTGAACAATTAACCTTTCAATGAACTTGCTTATCAGTAAGTCCTCCTTTTCTTGTTCAACATACTGGGATAGGTCATTGACAAAGAAACATTGTTGGCACAGACAGCCAAAGTATCAACAACCCTTTGGAAGTATTGTTTTTGTTTTTAACTCCATAAGCCTCTATTATTAATTTGGGGAGGCCACTGCTACAGTTCAAAAATAACTGCTCCAATTTTCTACCCGCTCTTCCAGATGGTGTAATATGAAAATCATAATAGGAATTTGTTTTCCCTTTTAGTTTTTACAGGTGAATATTTCTTCAAAACATATGCTGGTAGAATGACCAATGACATAAGTAATATGTACTCTTTTGGAAAGAGAACACTATTGTGCTTTTTCTATAGTAATCATTTTTCTCAGTGTAATTCAGAATTACACCAAGAACTACTATTGGTGAGTGCTCTCTCCATTCAGAGAACAGTACTGTTTTGTGTCATACTTTGTGAATTTATCTCACTTTGTTTCCTTTGTTAAGTAAAAGATTAATTTTTGCTTTTCCTTCGGCTACTGCAGTAGTTACTCTTACCTGCAAGGTTAATCAGTGTAATTAAGAATACCACAGAAAAGCCTATTTTGGTCCATTCCTTATTTTCAAAAATAAACTGAAATCCTCTTTGGCTAACCACCCTTAATGATAAGGAGAGTTCAGTGAGCTCAGATAACCTCAAAGCTCCTAAAATCTATATCCTGTCAGCTGGATGAACTGCTAATATTATTTCTGGTGACTGAACTAAAAATTAACGAACACTGTTTGTCAAAACTATTAATTACATGCTTCTCTTTCCCATGCAGTAATTTGAACGTTTTTTTTTTCATTTTCAAACTTCATCATGTTGTAGCTGCATTTCTTTTCCAGTCATGTTAGAAGTGACTATATACACATGGTATTTTTTTTTATCATCCTTTTGTTCAACATCTACAAGATTAGAGATAGTATAGACCAGATTTTTTCTGAACTCTGTTTCACATTCAAACAATATCATACAACAATATATAGAATTAGACCACCGTGACCCGTTGGGTCAACCACTATTCAGAGGTTATGAAGAATTCAAGCTAATTTCAATATTGCACCGAAATGAAGGTATATTTTGAGATAATTTAATTAAATATTTCAATCCATTCGTGTTATTCATAATTCAAGAAAAGATATTTGATAGTTGATTGGGAGTAAAAGGAAAGACCATTTCATTTTTCAAAAAAAAGTGAAGTAAGAAGTTTCGTAAAGAGTGCGAACTGTAGTGTGAATGATTTTTTGACTGTGAAAATAAGCAAACAATCTCAGAGTTTTAGTAGTATATAGATAGATCCATCAAGATCTTTTTTGTGTCATCTTACGCCTTTTAATGAAGATGGGAACATTGACAGGGAAATAATATAATAGGCAATGCTTGGCGAGAGGTTTTCGTTTATAAAATTTTGTTTTTGTTCTCGACTTGATTTTTATTTTATTACCTCGTCTCCATAGTTGCTATTTGCAAATAGTCAATAATATTGTAGGTCCATTTTATTGTTGTTCTTTCTACGTGCCGTCATAACACATTTTCATCTCATCATTTAATTTCTGTTGTGCATATATTGTTGTATAGAAGATATTTTAAAGTGATTCATCAGGTGGAAAACGAATAGATAGATAGATAAATAAACCAATATGTGGCATCATCTAGTGTACCTAAATTCATCTAGAATTTTTCATAAAAGCGACCCAAAAAACGGGGCTAACTCGGTAATCAGTGGCCCGATTTTAACGAAACTTGTTTTATTCTGTTTCTATTCTCATTTCATTACAATGTGCCGTTTTTGCTGTATACAGACAAGCACATGCACAAACAATCTCAGAGTTTTAGTAGTATATAGATGGTGGATCACAAATATTGTATAAACACTTACATAACAGACACTGCGCACTACCTCAAAACAAAGAACAATGTAGTAGTAATTTATAAAAATGTTTTTGTTTTCTTTTTGTATGACTAAGGAGAATGAACAGCAAGTGATAAAAATTTATGTTGTTATTATTTTAAATTAGAATAACATATGATATTAAAATTATTTTTTTTAAATATCTAATGATGCAAAATTATCATTCTAATTACCCTAATATTAAGTAATGAAACTGCTTTACAAGTAAGAAATATAATCATTAATAGCAAACACTAGTGAGTACATATAAAAAGTAGAAAACTTACCCAATAAGCAGCAAACAAAGTAAGAACTAAACAAGTCTGAAAAAAAAAGTTATCATTAAGGACATTTATTTCCTACATATATAAAAGTTTATATACTTATCCAAAACAAAGAATCATAAAATCCAAAATTGTTTCGAATAAACATGCCATCCTTAGATAGCTGTTATCACTTAGCAAATTTTAATAAAAAAACAGAGGCAAGTAACCTTATTTGTATCATTACTGAGCAAGTTATTATAATTAACTAAATCTATTCACATATTAGCATGTAGACATATAATCTTCCTTTCAGAAATAATGGCATTAAAAGTTTATTAATATCAGTCCAGCTATGAAGACTCATAAAACTAAGGTACAGGATTTACGATTTTCTTAATGTATTTCAAAGACTAATGTTTCATTATTTTTTATGTAAGTGAAGGCTTATGGGATTTATGTTAGGGATAAAACTTCACAATTTCAAACCTAGAGAACATGTAAAACAAATTAATTTGATTTTGACTGTTTAAGATCAAAGCCTCCAACTTTTCTATAAACATATATGGACATGTGTCATAATTTTTTACCATCTTATAACACACACACACACAGGGGAGAAAACATAACTTCCATTCACCTTCGGTGGCAGAAGTAACTATAACAATACTTAAGCTAGAAGTTTAATAGCTATAACTTAGATTGTTTGAAGCAGTAAGTAATTAAATTACATAAAACAGAAGCAACAATAATCTATAATACTCACATACAACATAATCCTGGCCTAGACTGTCTGTTATTATAACAGTTAAAACTATTATAACAGAAGGCTGATGAATTACTGACATCTTACTTGTGATAAAAACATGTATATGAAAAAGAATAATGAGTAAGTAAAAACTGTCTGAAAATAAATTTCAGCTATAAAGAAATAATAAATTACAAAAATGAAAAAAAACCCTCTTACATCTTGAAAAGTATTGGAGAAATATATCAAGCTTGAAATTATCAACAGAGCTTATTTGTCAGAATTAGTTATCAATTAAAATCCATCTGAATCATGGTGTTAAAGAGAGTTAATTGGAAGACATTATAGTACTTAAAAACTTGCAGAAAACTGACTTACCAACATAAAAATAGCTGATGTCAAACGAGATCGAGAAAAAATTTTTTTCATCTGTCCAGCTGGACTTTTCAGGAAGCATGTGCTATAAAATAAAAGTGAAATAGATTCTTTCTTGGCAAAATCTCAAAGTGCAGCAAGTCTCAGATAAGGATATGTTTTCAATCACTGGTCATAAACAGTTCCAAGCATAGGGTCACATAGGATGTGGTGTAACTTTATGGAGGAGTGGACAATAAGTGTTATTTAAAAAATTGTTAAAACTGATTATTAAGGTTTATGTTCACATGTACTTTTAATCCTCTTAAAGGACATGTATCAGAACTTAAGTTACTCAGAATGAACAAATCACATTCTTAAAACATTAATTCAAATAACATATAATTAATGAAGACTTGTGGAGAACTTTGCATTAATTAGCTGTTCATGCCATTATACCCAAAAAACTGAATTCTGGCACTGTTGGATCTTGCAATCAATAAAGCAGTTGGCAAACTTTCAAAGTAATACTGATGTATACAGTAGAACAGCCAACCAGCTACCTGGTTAGAAAAGACCCGCAGAAAGTTCATAACTATACGAGTATGAAATACTAGGAAAGTGATAATAGATGATCAAAGCCTATTGAATAATGATAATAATAAAACTCAGTTATTTGTATGAATCAACAAATATTTTTCTCATTTGATCCACAAGTGAGATACAGAGGAAACTTTTCTGAGTTCTAATATGTTATCAAAGTGCACAAATGAGATCAGGGAATAACTGAAAATTTTAGGATAGCAGGCAGTTTGGAAAGCTAACACTTTTATAATCTCTTTCTATCTACTATAAAAAAGAACACTTAGTAGTCTGAAAGGGAGATACTCCTTGCCATTATCATGTCACACCAAACAGTAAGGTTATAGAATCACCCAACCCTGTTTAAACAACTTAAATCTCTATTAAAACACCTAAGTTGTTTCCAAAAATTCAGCTCTTAGAGCAAAATTTCCCCCTCCACTTTACAGTTTAATCAATTTTCATGAGCAGGGTGAAGACAAACTGAAGTTTCTGACTGCCCCTCATTATCTCTCGATCTCTTATGGAACATGAGAGACTTTAAACCAAAATGACTGCCAAGATCAGATTAAATATGAAAGGGTGAAACAGGATCTTGAAAGTTACAGAAATAACTCACTGACTGGAATTTTAAGTGGGCTTGAATCAATCTTTCTTAAGATGAAGAGTACAGTGGGTCCAAAATATAAAAAAAAGAAGAAAGAACAAGCACCCAAGAGAACTAGGATATGCATAATTAATAACAAAATATACAGATCTTACAAATCACCTTTCTGCTCAGGATATAGTATGTAGATAATACAACTTAGTACAGAAATATATTTTTTCAAATGAAATTTTAAAAATTTTGTCCTTAGTGGTGAGTTCTTAATGAAGAGTATATATCCAAGCTTGAATTCATTTACAGGAGTTCCTGTTATACTCTGTGATGTATTCCTGAAATATTTTGGCCCACTCTTGAATAACTTTTTTAATAGGTGTAACATGGCTTTTCTACAGCAGAAAAACAACATGCAAACACAACGTGTTTAGATCCTCTGCTGTCTTGGCCAGCAGACAACATATTACACTCCACCCAGTAAACTAGTCCAACAACATTGGCACGCTCTAGTAACATAATAGAGCAATGTTGCTTCACATACTTATTGGTAGTACAGTTCTATACAGTAATTAGTGAATGCTACACATGGTAAAATACTCCAACAATTTTTTAACACTTTAGTAATTAAACAAGACAACATTGTTTCAAAAAATGTTGGTAGTAATTGGTAAACACCATACCTGGAAAAGTAGTCAATGAAGATAGAATGTTCTAGTAATGAAACAAAACAATGTTGTTTGATACATGGGTAGTAATTGGTGAATGTCCTAATAAACGGAAAATACAGAGTAATGCAATGTATAATGGAGACCCAGTGTATCTTGCCCTTACAGACTGCCTAAGTTTGCACTTTTCCTAGTTGCTGTATAATTCAGTAAGCACAACTCAGCAGGATGTTTAGTGCTGATCACATGTGAATACACAGTCAGAAACTCTGTTATCCTTTTTCAGTTAATAAGACTTGAACCATTCAACTATTAGTTTGGCTTTGAAACAATGAGTGACAGCCATGCCTGTTGGAGGAATCCTCAGACACCAAAGATGCACAGCATCCCTAACATTTGATGCTATAGAGTGTATTTTGGCACATCACATGGTTTTACAGCTAGAACAGCTGAAACTGTCTGGTGTATAATATTTAGAATATCACCAATTGATTTTTTTTTTAAATATTATGTTTAATTGAAGAGTCTGAAAAAATGCAATAAATGCCAAAGCCATAAATAAAGTAGGATGTGGTGCTTTTCAAGAAAATGACAATTTCTAAGTGACTGCTTAGTGCACATTTTGTAACTAAACTTATTTCCAACAATGAGGAAATATTTGACAAAATGTAAAATTTGCCCACAACAAATATGTAAGATCTATGCCTTTAAAGTGTCAAGCCACCATGACTGGAATCTTCGTTACCTATCGAGGAAGATATTTTACTTCAGAAGTTGAACCTGAAGCATGCATCAGAAAGCTTGCATAAAAATATTACAAAAATAAGTACTTTCCTGTGAGATTTTCTCTCCATAATTTAATGTTTCATTTAACTATCTTATAATACTGTATAAAAACGTGTAACACTATTTATAGAAAGTGTAAGCCTGACCAAGTATTTAGAAAAAATTATATACTAATTAACTACCATCAACTGTTATATATTTGCTTTCTCTCTCTCTCTCATAGGTGAAATTGTAAGAGGTCAGCAGACTTATCCTATCCAATCACCTAACAAAATCAGTAACTGTCTCAAAAATACAGTTAAAACTGAGGAGAATTTGGAAGCAGTCATGGTAGACCTATAGGTCAGCATCCTCATATTCTAAATGAAGAAGATTTCTGGGTAGAATGAATGAAGTTCTAGACCAATCCTGAATGAGGTAGCTCCCTATTTTTAAGATAAAGAAACAATATGAACATACTGCGTGACAATCACTCTTAAGTATAATAGCATGTGATGTTAAAATTTTCCAGCTACTAAGACTTTTGCTTTTATCCCATCTAATTGACAGTCTACATATTAAACAGAGCTATCCAGTGTGTGCAAATGTGTTTAAATTACAATCTATACAAAACAGACCATTTAAGAATAACTTAGATTCTTCATAATCTCTTTTGTACAAGTTATATAAGTGAAGCCATACACAGAGAAAATGAGAGTTAAAACCTGATATGATCAGTGGGGTAAATTTTATAGAGCTGGAACCTTAGGCATGTGATGTCACCATCAGAGTAAAGATCTCACATTCAAAACTTAATTTTCATCTTTGCAAGTCCATTTTAAGTAAACAAAATATATGCAGGACCAATTATTAATGATAACTTTTATTAGTAATAAACTGAATACACATATATTACAAAGAGAAAACATGCAACTCAGTTTTCTTAAATTTAGCAGCAAGAAAAAAAAATCAAAACTTTGTAACATTTACTAAAAGGTAATGCAAAGTTGGTGTTTTCATGTGCCTATATTTTTTTCTAGCTATAGTTTATAGGGTGCATTCAGGAATAAAATCTAATTAACATTGTCAGAAATACAAAAGTTAACATTTTTCTTACACTGATAGGTACTCATCTGCTGTCACACAAAACTATCTTGATATTCTTTCTGCCCTCTAAGCATTACTAAAACATTTTTGCACTCAGTACACCAGTCTATATATCCAATCAGTTTCCCACCATTTTTGATCATGTAGATATTATGTAACTATTCTCAACCAATAGTATTGCACACCTATATTGACTCAGGGGAGGAAGGGTGGGAGAGGAGGCAAGTACCTCTCAGAAATACATTTTCAGTGCAAGAAAGTTAAATTCCAATACAGTCTTATCTTTTATCACAATTCTAGAATCCCAAATTACATAGAAACAAACACATCAGTGATGTAGTAAAGCAAAAAAATAATATTTTAAGTCCTACACTGATGAAAATTAGGATTACAAGGCACATATTTAACAATGACAAAAAATTATCCAAATAGAATAATGAATTAGATGTTACTAGTAGTAATGATATGTAACATACAAACTATCTAAACATACCTATTGAACAAAGGACTTATGACTATCGAATTTACAAACGATCTAAAGTTACCTATTCCACAAAGTATGGAATAATAATGAATATGCAAACTGACTAAAATTACCGAGAAAACAAAGTAATAATCAATATCTAATTTACAATTCATCTAAATTAACTTAGATGACATAAGCAACATAAATATCTAACTTGCCAAAGTTTGAGCTCTGATGACTTGAAATATTTAATTCTCCCATGTGTAAAGAAGGACAAAGCCACACAAGGGGGCATCTGTGTCGTGCCTACTACAGGTATATCCACCAGGTGTGAAGTGTACAAGTTGAAAAACTTACCATACATCTACTGGGAGAACTGGAAGCAATATGAAGGAAGGAGGAGAAGAACAAACCTCCAACAAAGTGGCAGCACAGCAACTGGAGCAGGAAAAATACAACTAGCAAAATCCCAGACATCTCAAACATACAGCAAAATCTGAATATTCATTGACCAATAACATGATTAACAAGCTGTAAAAAATGTGGAAGGGGAAAACTCCTGAAGAGGTGTAGAGTGTTACAGACCAAAAGAATAAGGGGCCAGAAAAAGAGAGTCCAAATAGTCTTCTCTTTGATTGTATTCTTCCCCAGAAACATTGTCAAGTTGAGAAGAAGAAGAAATCTCCAGCCAAACACATGAATCCCTGTGAATTAAGGCCTTTACCTTCTCTGTAGATAAAGTCTAACCCAATTCCTGGGAAGTCATACCAGTAGCATTTTCTACTGTAATGGGAATATCCATAGTTTATACATTGAATCATGAATTCATACTAAGAGCTCTTGTAATTTCGTAACAAGAAATAAACACAAAACATAAATTGTTGAAACATATGAATGCAAACACAGTAAAATAAAACTGTTGAAAAAAATTTGAAATTGCAAAGAAGCCCAATCATAAATGATGGCCATATGCAAAATAACACACATCTAAACAATTCTATGCCAATCAAGAAAGTGAGGATTGAGCAGGAATAGCAGAGGGAGCTAGCTACATCAATATAGGTGGTGCAATACTATTGGTGGAGAGTATTCACATGATATATACATGTTCAAAAATGGTGGAAAATTGATGGGGTGTATAGACTGGTACACTGAGTACCAAAATGTTTTAGCAATGTTTGAAGGGCAGAAAGAAAATTGAGATATCTTTGTGTGAATGTAGGTAAGTAATTGTATGTATTATTTTCAAATTAAAAGGAAAAAAGAGGAAGCAATGTTTTGCAGAGAGTTATTGAAAGTTAAAAATCACTAGAATCAAAACAAGTTTTAAAAATGCATATCATATTAATTTATTATATTCCTAAGTGCACTACAGTATTAACAAATTTAACTTTTATAATGCTTTGCACACCTTCTATCTTGCCAACATAAATAACCGAAAAGATCAACCTCCATTATATATCACATAAATAATAAGCCTTTTAAAAATAAGTACATCTTAATAACAGTATAAATGAAAAATGTATTTTATTACATATTTTAATAACACTCATGTAACATATGATGAAAAATATTTCACTGTTTTAATACTCTGGCACCAGCTCCTGAGGGTGAGTGACAGTGTATGTGCTGGGTGGTGTAAGGGAGCTCTACCAGTACACATGGGGATCACAATCATCCAGTGTTCTCTAACACTCTGAAAATTAGCTTATGAAAGACACTTAATTTCATGTGTAAACTGAATACGATATTTTTCATATATTTTGTTTTTGAAGTGTTGGGATCGAGCTCCAATGTCAGTTACTGGTGTAGTGCTCCAGTGCACTCCAGCAGCAGTACACCCCTGGACAAACCTGAAGAAAAGCTCCTAATGTTATAAGTTCTTTTAGGGTCAAACATTAAGCATGTGACATATATGTAATACATGTAGACATCTTTAACAGTGCTACATATTATATAGCCCAAGATATGTCTAGAAGTAACACAGAAGGTTAAATACATTATATTAAAATTAAATTTCACATGTAAATCAGGAAGTCAGTTGTTATAGCAGAAATAAAGTCATGGTGGAATAGCCTGTATTAGAACTACATTTTGACTTTGTTTGGCATTTTGTAGGTAAAACAATGCCATCAAAAATTGACAGCTTTTTTGGAAGGGTATACAATAGCCCTTTTTGATACAAGATATTCATACACTCAGATCATAAAGATGCATTAAGATTGGGAATATCCATTATACTTAATTGCATTGGAACACAAAGGAAGATGGATCAACTTGAAGAGCTATGACCATCCAGAAAGAACTGCAACAAGTAATACTCAAGCCTTTTGTTTACTCAAAGGTTACATACAACATCAATTGTTTTGTAAAGACTTACACTTGCTTGACCCTCTTTCTGCAATAATGCCATTCTGAGGTGATGTTACATTTTTAAAGATGCAGTAGAGACTTGTGCAAGTTAATACAAGTTGAATGTTTAATGGTAATGATTGTTGACACAAGTAATCTTGGGATTGTAAGATACCTCACTAAGACCTTACTTTGATCTAAAAATGTGATATTTGATTAATCCTAATTTTGTCTCTGGCCTGTGTAGATATTTTGCTTCCAACATACACTTCTTTCCCAGCAGCCAGTTGAAGTTTTTCAAAGAATATAGAAGCCTGCCAGGACAATAAGAAGACCCCATTTAAGTTCAAACTCAATTAATTTGCAAATGCTGTATACTTGTTCACTAAAATTTGCTTTTTTTTTCCTTTGCTGACTGTGTTCATTTTATTCTAAACCTGATATATTGTGGATACCTATAAGTATGCATTAGAAAATAGCCTATTTCCTAGTCTAGTTACAGACCATTGTTCCCATTTCTCACAGTATACCTAACTTAATAACTTACTTTCAACTTGGTTATAATAGAATTCATATATCATTTACTTTAATAATTTACATAAGGAAAATTACTTATTCCAAAAGACAGTGATTTACAAGAACTTTTGTAAATGTATTTATTACAATACTTTACCTAAAGTGTTATACAGTTTACTTTTAGTTTATTACTTTTAATGGATCATTTACAGTAATACAGAGATATAAAACTCAATTAAGGTGGCATTCTTTATTATTCATAAGCACAGTCCTTACATGTTTACAGTATTGAGTACAGTTTGAACATGATTATGGCTTTCATAAGAAATGGAGAAGCACTTCTCATGCTTCACAACAATTATTTTACTCTTGATACAGTAATTTGGATACTTTTACTAATAGCTACAAATGTTGAATTCTTTAGTCTCCACCAATGCAAAAACAGTTGAAAGCTCAATTCCATAAAATCTTACACTGTCAAAAGTAAAAAACTTTGCCTTAATAAATAAGTCTTTTCAGCTAAGTTTTGAAGCAGATCCTTTATATTGCCATCAGAAATCTTGAATAATTTTATATACAAAATATTGGATGCATTAACAACATGTAATTGGTAAACCCATATCACAAAAAACTTAGAATTGCTTTCTTTTTTTTTTTACTATAATCATTTTCTGGTAGCCAAAATTTAATATACTGATGACAGTCAAATACTTACCTAGCAATGGCTGTTACATTTCCTACCGAGTAAAATACACCAAACAAAAGTTTTCCATTAGGTCCAAACATAAAAAATGATCCCTGAAAAATAAAAATGCAATTGTAGAACAACAACAATCACTTTCAAAGCACAATAACTACTATAACATTAGCTAGAACTTAATTATGAATATCTAAAATATCACAATCTTCACAATTAACAACATACAACAATAGTGGGGAAGTTATTGTACATGTGTAGTAATTGTGTGACTGACAATAGTTGAAAAATACTAACAGGAAATAAAAAGCTCTTGTCAGTGCATGTGGGTCTCCTTTGCAAGTTCAATTAAGTGAGATAAAGGAAAGTTCTGAAAATGTACACCAACTTAAATCAAATATCACATTACATAACATAAAGTAAATATCTTATACCTTAAAGAGTGAAACCAATGCTACACTCTAAATCCACTGACATGCAAACCAACGTTATAAAAAATACTAAATCCTTGCTTGCTTAAAGAGAACGTACAAAAAGCAACTTTAAGCAAGAGGTATTCTAACAACTTGCTTATGCTCTTAATTTAATGTGAACATAAAAGTATAAAGAAAATACGGTAGTAACCTTCAGTTTCCGATGGATACTTACTGAAGCACAAATGCCAAAATGAAAAAAACTAAGGGGAATTTAAATTAAGTAATTTCTCAAATTTTTTTAATTACAAATTCTAGGTAAAGTGTATGAAAATTCATTGTAATTCTGCCCTTCCACACCCCCAAAACTGTCTTGAATACATCAATAAACCCTAAAGTTTCTAGAATAAGAAGAGAGTAATTTTTGTTAGATTTTCTATTCAAAGGGCAGTGAAGATGAAGGGTGATTCAATTCACAACTATTATCCGATTCAAGATAAGAATAACTGGGCTTACTAATTAAAGATAACATTGTGATTCTTGTAAGAGAACCAGATAAGCAGGCTTTAATCCTCACAAAGCCATGTTTGCTGCTTAAAGAAAGTAAAGTTAGTAACTCACTTGAGCACCTCTTTCCACTCTGCTTTGAACTAAGGAACTGTAAAAAGTTATTTTTCTATACTGAAAATATATTTCTGATAGGTACTTAACTCTGCTGACATGTATAGGTGTTCTCGTTCAGTGCTGCTCTCTATGTGAACTTTTTTTTCACATGCCACAAGCCTTGAACTTTCACGTACCCCATGATCAATGTGGTTCAACTGCGTCTCGCATGTAAATCATCATGTGACAACCTTCCACCAATCAAAGTGCGACACACCCGCCTAATGCATGCGACTCCCTCTATTCAATTCTACCAAACTATCACTTAAAGATTAGGCTGAAGATAAAAGCACTGCTTTTCAATGGGAAGGAAGGGTGGGAGGAGGAAAGTACCTATCGTATGCAGCTGATCAATTCTAGTCCAAAACCAAGCAGCATTGGGATTACTACTTCTGACCCGTGGTAGAAGAAGGGTCCACACCATCTTCACCTGAAGTTGAGTAGAACAGAATAACATGCATCAAACTGGTCTACTAAACAAGACACATGTGTGCAAATCCACAAACTCTCATACATCTGGGAACCTGACATCTGAATGATAGTACAAAGGTGGTGGTTCACATCAAATCAAATACAATCTGACTGGAACCCTTCAGTGCAACAGCAGCCTCAGGAAGGGGAAAACTCTGAGGTAAAGTGCTAAAGGGAGAACCTTTGCCCCAAACAACATCATCCTCCAGATAGGACCGCGAAGAAATTGGAGTGTATTTGTGTGCAAATCAGCATCCGAGACCCACTTCGTGGCAAAACTACAAAATTGGAGTGAGGATAAAGAATCACAACTAACACATGTGTGAGGATTTATGTTGATTGGTCCAGCTTCAATCCAAAACCACTAAATAGGAACCACATCCAGGGGATGGTAGGATGAGGAGGCCCAATTGAATGGGTGAACTACAATGTGACAGATCTAAAGTAACATCACCCTCTGGATAGAACTGCACAGCATCAACCTTCAGGACCCACCATACAGAGGTGGAGCATATATATTTGGAAATATGCACATCATCATCCCCCGGATAGGACCACACAGAAGTTGGAGCACATCACTAACTTTCGGATTCCGCCACAGGGAAGTGGATTGCCTCTACAAAATACATGCAACCGAACCCTCTGGATAGAACTGCACAGAAGCTGGACACAACAACAAGCTCCGGGACCCACCACATATAGGTGGAACAAATGATTGAGGATTGCACACTATCTACACCAGCAGAACACTACCACCCTACTCTCTATTGAATGAAAGTGATCCCATTCAGGAGGATACCTCCATGTTCCACCACCCCAGCAACTCAGAACAGGAGAGTGGCAAGAAATCCCATACTCCACTAGAAGAACAAGAGCAGGGGGGGATAAAATGCAGTACAGAGTCTGGAGGAATACCAACACTGGAGACAGTGGAACGGGTGACTACAAAAACCGTGTATTGAGAAGCATACCATCCGCGATTTATTCAGTCGAACTTCTGCTTTACCCATTAAGTTCATGGGTTAGTACAGTTTAGAACTGCCATATTAATTAAGCAAATATATCATGAGGAAAACCTACTAGTGATCTTGTGGAACACTCCATCTGAATGGCATGCATTACTGGCCATAGGTATATTGTGTTTGATTATTTCATCTTGACTGTACCTTGCAGATTTGAGATATAGGAATAATACATGTACAGGCAATGTTCGCTACTGAGCAGGATCAAAATTCTAAATGGGGTATGCCTCTGGAGGGAAAAATATACACATCCTTCAGTAGGTCTGTGACATCTCCTGATTGGCTAAAGAACATGCCAATCAGCAATTGCTTTAGCGGCTTACGTTGATCTGACTCATTTTATAAGCTGTACTATTTCCTATAGATCATTTTCCAGGCGGTTCTGCTATGATTAGTGTCTGGTGAAAAGCTTCAGCAGATATTTCTTTTGCAACATCTCAACCAATAATTGATCCAGTTATCAACGCTATTTTCAAGTTTTCAACAACTCGACATATCTACATGTGCCGATGTTTCCGTT